TCTTTAGTAGGATCTTGCCTCTTGTAGTAGAACATTGTTCCCGCTTGTTATATATATTATCTCTATCGTTCCGGCAAAAAAAAAAATATAATTCGATTAACCGGACTGAATAACCAATTAATTATGTTCATTTTCAAGTTGACATAGGACAAAGGTTCGAGTGGTTCGATATGCATCGACACAGTGCACTGTAGTCTTTGACAAATTGCACCTTAATAACAGTTCGATTACACAATATATTCGTTTGCATATGGAATGATTTTTTTAATCAAAATATAATATATAACATCAAATAAAATATATGTTCGATAATAATCATGTTTTTTATTTATAATAAATAATATAATTTATGTCGGTTATATTGGTTATTTAATTTAACCGACAAATTAAACTGATCATGTTGAACTTTTGAGTTTCAACTTTAAAATATGTAGGAATCGAGAAAACTACGATTTCATAAAAAAAATATATGGCCTTATTTTTTAATGTTTATTTTTGCGCATAATAATGTGCAATTTATATAACTTTATTGTGAACTAATTAGACTTTTATTATATTATAGATTCGCCTCAAGTTTTTAAATTGAAATAACAGAAACTTAAAAGAAATTGTAATTAAGCCCCTACAATCTATCAAATTTCCAAAGAAAACCCCACAACTCCAAGACACAATTACACCAGGTAACTCTCGTCAACCTCTGCCGGAGCCCCCCCCCCCCCCCCNNNNAAAAGTTCCAGTGATCGTCGATATGGTCACTCGCCGCTGCCTTCGTCGGCCCAATACGTAACGCCACTACAACCCGCTTCTAGGACCTCGAAAACTTCATATGCGCAAAAAAAAAAAGAACAAAATGAGAATCGGCCATTTCATTCTCACATAGCGTCACCGGGAAGGATGGCGGTGGCGTCGCGACTGCAAGATCAGTGATAAACGGTGCTGAAGGTTCGCCAGGGATAGCGACCTTCTTCTCGCTGTCGGATATGGGCATCGAGGTCGACAATTGAAAAAATGTACATGAGGGCGACGCGGTGGCGGCAGACAGCGATAGACGACGTCAGGTGAGGACGACCACACAGTCGTCGGGCAAGGTCGACCACACAGGCCACTTTTCGTGTCAGAATCCAATAGCTTTCCACAACAACGGCGACAGGCTGGTGTTGGCGGTGACGTGGCCGGCGATGCTTGCGGTGGCGACACTAATTGACGCCCGGCGGCGGCTTCATCCAGATTGTGTGTGTTTGTGTGTGATTGATATGTGTGTGTGTTGCGTATGGTGTTTTATGTGTGTTGTGTGTTTTTATGTGGGAGAGAGAGGGGTGGGTAGTTGTGTTAGTGGTGGGGTCCACTTGTAGTGTATAATGTCTAATTTACCCTTACTTATTGGTCTAATTTTTATAATTAACATGGGGTTTACAATTATTTACAACAATGCTACCTACGTTTGACTGTGATTTATTAAGTTTTGACTTGATCATGATCATTAGTTTGAGTGATCCAATGATTTAAAATCATTCTTATTTCTTTCACCATCTCCCTTTCTCATATGATCGGTTCGGAGGACACTCCAAATAGAGCAGCGTATGGGTCTGGTCGAGCAATACCAA